GGCCGCCGCGCCCCCCCGTTCCCCTCGGGGCCCCGCAACCCCCCGCAGCGCGGCAGGCCGCCCCAGGGGCTGGGGAAGCGCCCTCCAGCCCGGCCTGCACAAATCACAAATCACCCCTTTGGGGTGTGCCTGGCTCTTGCCCCTAGAGCCCTGCGCGGTGCCACACGCGGGTCCGCATCCCACCCGCCAGCCACACACATGGGCCGCCATGCAACGCAAATCGCCCCAGGTCTGCAGGGCTGGGCTTGTAACGGCTGGCGTGGGCCTTAAAGCCCCATCTCCTGGAGGCGAGTGATTACAGGAACATCGCAGCTTTCCTTTTGATTCGTAGGCAAGTCTCTCACCCTTGTGGTTGCAGGGAAAAGCCTGAACCTGGGACCCCTGATAGGCGGAAATCCAGAAGGCAAATCAAAAGAACGCCAAATGCATTTTTAAAAAATCTCATGAAGGGTTTGCTTTTGTTTTTTGGAGCGGGGGCTGACACCTGGTTTTGGAATGACCAGTGTTGGCATGGCTGTTGTTATTTAAATGCTAACAATGTGCTTGAAAATAGTCCCTGCTCTAAAAAATGTGGGTCAGGTTCAGCCCTGATTGGCAAGTGCTGTATATGCCAGCATCCTAGTGAAAACTAAAGATACTGGTGAAATTGCCCAGGACAAAGTGCCCTCCAATGAGCTGTCCGCAACTTATTTTGCACCTGCCTTATTCTCCCCCATTTAATTGTTATCAATTATTTTTCTACTTGTCTTGGTTGCAGAATGCATGCCATAAAGGGTCCTATGGCTACCAGAAGCTGAAAGAACGGTGAGTGATTCTTTTTCTGAAGGGTCGATTGAATGACATGTTTGCATGTGGACATGAAGAGGGTGGGTATATACTGTGTATTACTTCACATTTGTTTCTCATTACGAGAATGGTCAGTGGCCTTTGTGCAATCACTGTTCCCGCCACAACTATTCTGGTAAACAGGGTTTTGCCTGCCTTTGATGGTCATTCTTCTTTTCAAATAGGAATTGGTATTGTCATTTCGGCCATAGATTCTTGGGCTTGTATATTCCTTACTAATACACCTCTACCCCGATGTAACGTGGCCCGATGTAACATGAATTCGGATATAACGTGGTAAACCAGCGCTCCAGGGGGGCAGGGCTGCGCACTCGGGCGGATCAAAGCAAGTTCGATATAAGGTGGTTTCACCTATAATGCGGTAAGATTTTTTGGCTCCTGAGGACAGCGTTATATTGGGGTAGAGGTGTATATCTTTGTGATAATGATTTGAGTTGGTTGGAAAAATTCTGATGAAACAGTTTTGTCAGAATTTAAATATTTTGTGGAGTCAGTGCAATTTTGACAAAGTTCCTCTGGCAAGTAGACAGGTCTCAAAATGTTTCCATCAGAAACTTGCCTCTTTTTTTGCCACCTTGCCTGCCCAGCTCCTTGGCAGGCTGCTGGGGATGATGAGTTTTCAGAGTCTGTGGCTCTGGGGTAGCCCTCTAGGAGGACTATCTCCGAGCCTTTAGGGTATGTCTACACTAGCCACCGGATCGGCGGGTAACGATCGCTCTATCGGGGATCGATTTATCGCGTGTAGTGTAGACGCAATAAATCGATCCCCGATCGCTCTCCCATCAACTGCTGAACTCCAGCTCCGCGAGAGGCGAAAGCAAAGTCGACGGGGGAGCCGCGGCCGTCGATCCTGCGCTGCGAGGACGCGAAGTAAGTGATTCTAAGTCGATCTAAGATACGTCGACTTCAGCTATGCTAGTCTTGTAGCTGAAGTTGCGTATCTTAGATCGATTTCCCCCCCACCCTCAGTTTAGACTTCAGGGCTCCAGGGTTTGCAGTTCCAAGCAGACTGCCCCAGAGCCAGGGCTCCAGAATTTCAAAATTTTGGGGTTTTGTTCCAAATTGGAATGAAACTAAATTTCAAAATCCCCCTGAAATGAGATATGTTTCTCTGTCCAGCACTAATCATGATCTTGCATCATCCCAAAGAATCCCAAATGTAATAAACTGATGTTCAGATTCTGTGTAGGGAATCATTTCATGCACCACTAAAATGCAGCCACATCTGGGGCGAAGTACAGCAAATAGTTAACAGTGCTTGGTAACAGTGTATAACAATTTAGCACAAGAAATAGACAGTATCAGTTGAATCAGCTGGGGAAATTCTAGGTAGGCAAAATAATTACTTGAGGTGGAACTTGACCAGGAGACTGAAGTTAACCCAAACAGTTTCATGGTGTTTTTAATGACCACAGGTGGTCAGTACCTTGTTTTTATATCTTATCTGAAAAATAGTACCTCCAGCACCATAGCACTCCATAACACAATTAGGGGCATTGATTATTTACAGACTTAGAGGAAAGAGTCAGTAGGACCATTCCTTGCAGCACACAGGTGTTCCTTGGTAGCTCACATCCAGTAGTGCATGCACTAACCAACCTTTTACTTAATCTGCAGGGTTGGATGGGATCATAATACAAGGTGGTATGACTGAAATGTAATTTTATCTAATATATAGGCTATCTTGTTGATTAGAAGAGCAGTTCTCAACCAGGGGTCTGCAGCCTCCTGGGGGTCCATGAGTCATCTCAGTGGGTCCCCAAGCCCCGGCAGGCAGAAGTTCCAGGACCCAGCGCCCTGTGGGGATAAAGCCGGGATAAAGCCCCGAGTCTTCCACAGAGCTAAAGCTGGGAGCCCCGCAGGGCAGAAGCCCTGAGCCCCCCAGTCCCGCAGCCCAGCATCTCATGGGGCAGCAGCCCTAAGCCCCCCACCTTCTCCCTTCCCCCTCCCCCCACCACCCCAGCAGCTGAATCCCAGAGCCCCAAGCCCTGCCCGGAGTCTGCTGGGCCCTGGAAATTTTATAGCATGTTGGGGGAGCCTCAGAAAGAAAAAGGTTGAGAACCCCTGGATTAGAGGATAACTAGAAGGTCTGAACTATCAGAGTAAAAAGGGGAGTGAGATGCTCTGCACTTCAGGAGATTACACTATATTTACATATACTGGTTCAGGCGTACATGAAAATGATTTGGGTTGTTTCAACATAGTTCATTTTAAAATTTATTTTCTTTATAGGCTTCCCTGTGATGCTCTTCACTATAGTATATAAACACCGTGTCTATATTAATGAATTTATCTTCACAACACTTCTGTGAGATAGGGAAGTATTATTATCATTATTGTACAGATGGGGAGCCTGAGGCACAAGAGACTAAGTGAGTTTCCTGTAGTCATACAAGGAGCCTGTGGCAGAACAACGCACAGAATCCAGATCTGCATTTGTGGCAGGCTTGCTCTTGGACTTCACAGAGTGTATGGTGTCTTTTTTTTCTTCCCCCACACAGAGAACCAAGAGCTTGTATCCGATTCAAATGTGCGCTCACAAACACCATCTTAGATATCCTGCGTCGGAGACCAGGATGGGTTGAAGTAAAAGAGTAAGCTCCAGATTCTTTCCCTTTGCAACTGGTTAGCCTTCCCTAGTCTTTTGTCATATTCAACTGTGTCTCCACTAGAATTTTCAACCATGTTTGCAAATGTGTCTCTAACATAACTCCTTGTCAGTGCATCCTGAACTTTGTGGCATTGCTGCTGCGGAGCAGGTCCTCTGAGTTCAGCATCCTTTCAACAAAGTGTGGCCAACCCTTTTCCGAATGAAGGCTTGTTGACTGGTTTGTTGAAGCTGAGTGACACTGTCCACATCAGCAGAACAATTGATCTCAATTCTGCTTCGATGAGGGAAGAAGAAGCTGTGTTGGACCACTATTGTTAAATGTGGCTGAAAATTACAGTGCCGACACTGTCTCTTTCTTCAGACAGTCTCTCTCATTCCTACTCTAATTTAGTATTGCGGTCATTTATCCTGTCTCTAGCTTTTTCTTTCTTTCACTGATTTGTTGTGTTTGAAGACTAGGAACTGCTGACTGTAGTTTTTCAGTTTTAGTTCTGTTGCTATTGATCTGTCATCCCTTAAATAGGATCTTATATATACAATTAAATAATGTAGTACTGACTCAGGGGGGAGATGGCCACACATTGAATTTGAGGGGACTGACTTCAGCAGAGTTGCCTGGTTGTAGACGACTCCATTCTAAGTCCTGCTTCTGCTTTTCTAACTAATTGGATGATTTCAGTTGAACTCCTGGTAGTCGAGAATCAATATGATAACTGTTTTGTTTATACCTAATACATTGGTATATTCAGACCAAAACAGGCTTGGTCTTAATGGGCACCATTAAAATTCAGAGCCTAAACTTTTAAAGAACAAAATAAACAAAAAAATGGATTAATCATGTGTACCAAGGCTTTTTATTAGCCTGCAAAAATTGCAAGCAGAGAAGGAAGCAGAAGTGGTCATGACAGCTGGTGGCTGTCAAGAAGGGTGGGTGTGGTGATGACCTAGAACTTAGTGCTTGCCTTACTGGCTGTCTCTCTGCCTCTTTCTATAGGGAGGGTGAGTGGGATTTTTACTGGTGTGATGTCTGCTGGCTTCGGGAGAATTTTGACCATACCTACATGGACGAACATGTTCGCATCTGCCACTTCCGGAACCACTACGAGGTAAGAAACCACTATGAGTGAAACATACGAGTCAGGATGGTTTGGGGAAATAGTCACTAAAATTCCATGGGAAAAGCTTGTTGATGGAAAATACCTTGTAATATTCCCTGCCATGAAACCTAATCCCCTCCTGACTGCTGTGCTAACCCCTCCTCAGAATTTATCAACCTCTGTCACTCCAGGAAACAGAAGAGTGGCTTTGCCCAGGAACATGACACTAGATTTATTGGAGTACTTGTGGCACCTTAGAGACTAACAAATTTATTAGAGCATATTTGTTAGTCTCTAAGGTGCCACAAGTACTCCTGTTCTTTTTGCGGATACAGACTAACACGGCTGCTACTCTGAAACTAGATTTATTGTATTCCACATCTGATAAATCTCATGAAGGCTGAGCTGGACTGTCTCAGGAATCCAGGACCAACTGTACACTACAAGGACAACTGTGTTGTAGCACAGTTCTTCCTGGGGCAGTTCTAGCATAGTTCCAGAATGTAGCATGGTCAAGGCTTTAGCAGAAGCAGAAATGCATGTAAAGTCCCATGTGCACTACAAAATGGAACTGTTTTAAATATATCTGAGGACAATTGCATTGCAACTAGGTCATCTGAGATGGTTGAATTTTCAGTATAGACAGGCCCTAAAACTTGGTGTTTGCCTTGGAAATCAGCATAGCAGCTACACCTAAAGGCTTTAGACCAGAAATAATGCACTGTGGATTGCTACAGCTTCCCCTTGCGCCTCCTGAGAACTAAAAAACAAAAACCAAAACCCACGCACACACAAACCATGCAGACTCCTCCACAAAGAAAGAAAGAATCCCTAACTTTACCCATTGTTTTTCTCAGTTAGTTAACCTCCTGTGGCATCACTGCTGAGATCTATTACCAAATATCACCAGAAACATCTCATCTCCTGGGCAATTCAAGTGAAAGAAGAGTGAAGATTAATTTGTGTTAACATTTGCAGTCTGCTCTTGTATTTCTCTTTCCACTCAGCTGACTCGTAAGAATTACATAGTGAAGAACCTGAAGAGGTTTCGGAAGCAGATAGAAAGAGAGGCAGGAAAGCTGGAGGCAACAAAATGTGACTTTTTCCCCAAGACCTTTGAGATGCCATCAGAGTACCACTTGTTTGTGGAAGAATTTCGCAAGAATCCTGGCATCACCTGGATTATGAAACCAGTAAGTATGGTCCTGTCCACGGGGACAATTCAGAGGAGACATTGCTCACTTGGGTATTCTGTGGGAAGAGAAGAGTATGCACACAAATCCATAGCAGGCATTGCTCTTGGCCAGGTGGGCATAGAGGCATAGGTGCTTTTATTTTTCCTGGTGGGTGTTCCACCCCCACTCTGCCCCAAGGTCCCGCCCCACTCCACCCCCTCCCTTTAGGCCCCACCCTCACTCTGCCTCTTCCTGTTCTTGCTCCACCCCCTCCCTTGAGGCCCTGCCCTCACTCTACCTCTTCCTGTCCCCACTCCACTCTCTTCCTGGAGGCCCCATGCCAGCTATAGAACAGCTGAACAGCTGTGGCTGGTGGGTGTTGACCACCCCAGTTATTTTTTTCCACGGGTGCTTGAGCCCGGGAGCACCCATGGAGTCAGTGCCTATGCCTGATTCTCTCCTCACTTGTAGCAGTTTAAATCAGAAGCAACCCCAATGAAATTAGTGGAGTTACACTGGTATAAAATTAATGAACCACAGGTGGTTCACCAGCCCAGGAAGTAGTCTAATGAGTGGCGCTGTGATTCACTAGCAGATATAAACCCAATCTGACAAGCCAGAGAAGGCACGTCAGACTGGCAGTGCCAGCAGGAATCTGAAACACACTTCTTGAATTGAAGAGGGTACTAAGCAGGGGTAAGTCTAGCTGGCATAGCTATACTGGCAAAGGCGCTGTAGTGTAAATAAGACCTGCATTAACCATGGTTTGGGGCATGTTTCTTGAGGAAGAGGTGTTAGTGAGGGGGCATGATTGGAGGGCACCTGTGGGAGGGGAATGATCTACCACTTTAGCTACCAGCTCTGCCCTCCTCCTGACCCCACCGTGCCCCTGGTAGGGCTGGAAGGGCCATGGGAAGAAAGGAGGATAGTAACTGATGGGCTGTGAGGAGCACATCCACCAGCTGGAGACAGCAAGAGGAATAGCAGGGAGCCCCAGATTTTGTATCTACTTCAGGGAGCTAGTGCAAAGGAACAGGCTCTGCAAAGTCCTCTGCAGTACAGAGTCCTGTTGATGTGTGGAATGGCCCATTCATATCAGTAGGGTGTGCTCAGATGAATTAGGATGCTCCAAAGTGATGAATAATCTGACACAATAACAACAAGGAGTCCAGTGGCACCTTAAAGACTAACAAATTTATTTGGGCATAAATATTCGTGGGTAAAAACCTCACTTCTTCAGATGCACTATGCATAGTGCATCTGAAGAAGTGAGGTTTTTACC